TGTGTGTGTGTGTGTGTGTGTGAAATATTGACAAACTAGCATTGGTGGCCGCCTACATAAATGTCTACATTTCTAAATTTCATACAAAATAGAATGTTTTTAGCAGCATTTTCTCATAATGTAACTTCTGTAATGTTTTTAGCTGTAGGCTTAGTGATTTTTACATAATATCACACAAGTGATTCAGATGCTTGTGAGAACTCGATAGACAGAATCACTTGACCACTTACCCTCTGCTATGGATTTTCTGCTCTCTCCCTAGTTAGTAAGATTTTGCAGCGTTCGGGGCCCAGTGAGTGAGTGAAGTTAATTTAGTAGTTGCTGTTACTCAGTGTCACCAATGGCATAATTGCCAGTGTGACAACAGCCTCAAGGCTCATTCACATGGCCACGGAAGGCCACACATGTGGTTTTTTTTTCCCCGCGGGAGTCACAGGTGTTCAGTGCAACCGCAGCTAGAAGCCTGTGAAAAAATAAATGACAGCCAGACAGACGCAGCCACTGTACAGATCTCCCCGCACATCTGACCGTTTACATCCATACAGGTAAAAAGGTTTTTTTTACATGCTGCTGGATCCATAAACACATGCATGTACCACCCTCTGTGGCCATGTAAATGTGCCCTAAAACAGTAAAATGGAAGCTGATGTTTACAGAGCTAGCAGCTTGATTAAAAGTGACAGCAATCCCATTAGGATACTGTATGTGTTTAACATTCCCAATTTGGAGCTGAAGGGTGCTTTAAAAGCTTACATTTAAAAATCTAATTCCACCAATGCATCCCTCCATGTATGATGGTTAATAATAACATACACATGTCAGCTGTAAAATTCTGTGATTATGAAATACTTATACTTGCAGAGCTTGCAGAGCCAGTGGCATAACAATCACCATAGCGACCCAGGCGGCCGCTACGGGGCCCGAGGCACGGCGGGGCCTGGCCAGGACATCTCCCTGATGCCATGCGAGCATTCACTTCCTGCTTTGAAAGCGCAAAATTACTTCAGTTTGCCAAAGCAATGCACACTGGGATTGTCTTGTCATCAGCAGAGCATTGCTTGGAAATCTCATCTGTAATCACACGAGATCTCAGGGAAAGGCATATTCCTCCCCTGAGATGATGTGCATGGTCACATGTCCTAGTCACATGTGCCGGAGTTCCAGGAAGTTATAAGAGAGCTAGTAATCTGCCCTTAGTAAACATGGCCACTGCCAGAAGACAGGGGTAGAAAAGAGAAATAGGGTATGCAAAAACTACAAAGCAGGCAATTATCTAGAAGTATGTGTTTGTAGATTGTCATTTACTAAACATTTCTAAAGGTGTGTTTGTTGTTATTTAAAAGATATGGGTAAAAGTCAGATTTAAAAAAGCTTGCAGAAAGCTTTGCAAATGCTCTGTAAAAGCTTGATGTTTGCACTGCCCTATGTTAAAGTCTGTGTAGCTCCTGAGTTGTCCGCTCACACAACTGATTTCAGCACCATGGACAGAGAATATGAGCCAAACATCCAGGACAGGAATCTAATACTTAGCACAGGGTTGGGCAACCTTGGTATTTTGTCTGTTGTGGAACTACATGTCCCATGAGGCATTACAAAATGCTAAAAGCCACAAGCATAACGCCTTGAGGCAAAGCATAATGGGATATGCAGTTTCACCACAGCTGGAGTGCCGAGGTTGCCTACCCTTGCTTCAACAGTTTACAGGGATATGTATGAAAGTTGATAACTCTCAATCATATTCTCAATTTTCTCAGCTGTGACATGCTTAAGAGAACAGGTAATCATACAATTTGTCAAATGTCTTTTATATTTGTGTGGCTATTAGATGAATGTCTGTCCCCATACACAGCTACAAGTTCATTCACTTACAGAAATGTTATTTTAATGAAAATATACTGAGGTTATGTTCTGTAACCAGTTTAGATGCAAATAGTAAGTAGTGCAGTGACAAAACTCCTTAGAAAATAACTGAACAAATGACAGAAATTCCTACTTCAGCCTCAGGCAGCCCTGGACCTCCACGTAAACAGCAAATGTATACTTAGTTTAACAAGTGTGCCTTCACAATGTGCCACCTTTATACAGTGCTGGCACCTCCAAATTTATGGCTGCTCCCATAGTCAGTGTCTCAGTGTTTGCAAGCTGCAGGAAAGACTGTGGGGGGCAGTCTCGGTTGGCTCATAGACGATCAGTGTCTTCCCAAAGTAGACCTATTAAACTGCAGCTGGCAAGCATGGCCTGGAATCCATAGTAGCTGTGTAGAGGGAGTCTGTCACCTCTGTGTGCAGGCCCTGAAGGTGCACTTGTACTGTTTACAAGGGCCTCTGGAGGCTAAATAAGGGCTTTCTGTCATTTGCACAGTTATACTTGAAGTCCAGACACGGCATATTGCCTCCAAATACCTCTATTAATCTTAAACTCATCTGTTCCTCTGGGAAACCCTTTGATTCTGGGCACATGGTGAAATGTTGCCTTGACTGCATAAATATGGAGAACATTTGTACTGACCTTGTGTCAGAGGTGATGCCTCATTTCAGAATACACAGGATAGCATACTTCCCAATCTTCTGAGCAGAGAAAGAGGCACACCTTCCGGTACAATGGATTTAGGCAATGCACACTCCCCCAGCTATAAGGGACCATTAACAATTTATATGCCACAAATGATTGGTTAAACCCAGATTTTTTTTCCACCATTACTTTTCCTTTATACTGTCTTTTTAAAATAGCTATTGAGATCATTAAGACATAAGATGAATGTTTTAGCGCAGAATAACATTTTTGGTAGTCAAATAGAACCTTTTCATAGATATATACATTACATTAGACCAAAAAGAGGGACGACTGAGGAGGAAAGAGGGACAGAGGGGTTTGGTTCCAAAACAGGGACAGTCCCTCCATGTGAGGGACAGTTGGGGTCTATGAGATAGCATGTGAAGAGTGATATATGGTGCCTGAAGGTACTTTTTCCAAAGAGCACCAGATACACCACCCCTTGCCCTATTTATTAACAATACAGACTTCAGATGCAGACTGACCCTCTATACCAGCAGCGGGCAAACTCTGGCCCTCCAACAGTTGTGGAACTGCAAATCCAATGATGCATTGCAAGATTCTCACAGCCACAGGCATAATTCCCGGGGACATATGCATGATTGGATTTGTGTTTTCACCACAGCTGGAAGGCCAGGGTTTGCCCACTCCTGCTCTATACAATGCTAAAGCCTACACAGGGCCCACCAAAAATACATTGCTTTAAGCTTTGGCATTTTCAAGGCCATTTGGACATCAGTGGTGTTGCTATAGACTATAATGAATGTCTGTACCTGAATCATAGACTGACATTATTTTCTTTGGGCAGACCTGAGCAGCTCTGTGAATCACCACAGAGCTGTCAGAACACTGAGCTTTGCATACACATCACCATGATGGGAGTCTGTACCTAAGGTCTGTGCTGTTATTACACAATTTGATGTCATTGGCACAGTTTAGTAACTCAAAGTATTGAAGCTGTTGTATTAGCATCACATTACTGAAGCAGTTGTTTTTTACATCACACTATTTAAAATTCTCTGACAACCTCTTACTGTACATGGGTATAGACTGGCTCATTCATAAACATGGACATACAACTGTGAATGCAGGCTGTCTGATTGCACATGTTTATGGAAGTACCAGCATATATCCGCGTTCAGCTGCATACAGCCATTGATTTCAATGGGCGTCTATACGGATGGCTCCTGGGTTGAGAAATACATCCAAATTTTACATTGCATGATGCCATGTGCATGACCCCTAAGGTGGTCAAGGGGTATGGTTTAAATAGACCATATCACTTGGCCCTAAATTCACAAGGTAACAGCCATCTCGCACACTGGTGAAGGAACTTTACCCACCAAATGAATGTCTCCCAAAACAGTTACTTTCAAGGCATGCCAACTGTCAGGGTTGCCAGTGTACTTATTTCTCAACCGAACATTCAAGCCCTCAAATGGCATCATAGCTGATCATATGTGCAGCACCATGGCAATTACTACCCAAACAGAGGCTAAGATGGCACCTCCCTTGGCTGCAAGGGATAGGAGGTTGTAGTTCCACTTTAAAGAGTAATTCTCCTTTTGATGGGGAAAAAAAACAAATCTTCTTTGGGTGATCAATGTACATTGCAAGAATTTTAACCAACTTAGTTGCAGATTCCTACCTGTTTCTGTTCTGGAGATAAAGCTGTTTGTTACACCTTGTCCTTTCCAAAATGATCCCTGAATGGGAGGGTCTGAGTTCATTATAATCAGGTGCTGGGCTTCCTGGGTTAGAATAGGGAAAAAGCATGGTCTGCATCCCTTTAGTAGAAATTAACCCTTACCAAAAATGAAATTCCTATTGCAAGGAATGCCAAAAACTATTCTTGTATCCTAGTGCAGACTTCTGGGAAAATCAGTCAGCCAATCACGGAAGCAGGACGTGACATTTCTGGGGGTGTTCCGTACACCAAGTGTGTACGGAGCGCCCCGCAGGTCGCCATATTGCATTGAAGTTTTGTGGCAGATTTAGAACATTACAGCGGATGCAGTTTTAAATGGAAAGGTTCAAACCTTTTAAGTTGCATTAGTGAAATAAATGAACTTTGCACGATATTCTAATTATTCGAGTTTCACCTGTATATATTCATTTTTTAAAGATCCTTTATTTTTTATCTTTTGAAAGTGGTACTCTTTAAGTACTATAGTTAGTTCTAAAATGTTTGCTTCAGTGTTATTTGCTGTGTAGCTTCTTGTCTGCATATGTGTCTGCTCCCCATTTGATGGCACAGCTTGAGTTTTAGACAGGAGTGTAAAAAATAAAGAACAATTAGCTATCCGGGGTGTGGCCTGTCACTGACATGTCACTTCTACGAGAGTTGTTTGTGTCTTCAACAAAAAAAGCGTTCATCCTCTGCGCCCCCGGAGCCTCCCGTCTTTTTTTTTTACCTGTTGGAAAGTTAGAGACTGACAGTCACTCACCCTGACACACAAAAGAAGACGGCGTTTCCCCAGGGTGTACTCGAGCAGTTATAAACACGACCCTTTGCTCAGCTTCAGACACCAGGTTCACTGGAAGAAAGAGACAGGCCTCATCAATTCACAGCCGCAGATTGGAGCATTAATATTAATATGTCCCCTTTTATTAAAATACGCCATAAATTATGAATTTCCTTCAATCCATTATTAAACAAATCGCCGGCGCCTTCTCCTCTCGTCGCTAACGGGAACAGGAAATGACACCTTAAGCTTGCTGAAATCATATCATTGCTTTCCGAATGGCTGAAATTAAAGCTGCTCTGTAGTCAAATTTTTAAATTTTAGCATGACAATGAATACACAAAAGGGGTGTTTTTGTTTTGGATAGAAATTATGTAGTAAGCACTTATCTGGTGGACTGGGAACACCTAATCCTGAGCATGCAGTTCTGCAAAGATCTGGACTTCAAAGTCTAGTGTAAGTGTAGTTATCTCTGACCTGGGGCTATATACCATAAAGGAAACCTTTGCTGAGAAACTGCTGCCATTGCTGTCTTTAAAAAAATGCTGGCTACCATGCTTATCCTTCAGTTTAAGTAGTTTTACACTTACTGACCCGGAACAAGTACGCAGATCAGACAACCAGCATTTTCAGAAGGAAGTCAACATATTGTTTTCACAGTAGATGTAGGAACTAGGGATGCACAGATACTTTTCGAGTACCAGTACCGATACTTGGCATTTTCATGAGAACTACCAGGGTTGCAGCGCTTGCAGCTGGGACCTGGCTCTGGCGCTTCACCACTGTCCTGAAATCATTAGTCTGTATTGTTTTAGAAAAACTGTCACATGACATTAAACAAAAATGTATCAGTACTCGTACTTGTAAATACTCGGCAAGTACCAGTACTCGTACTCGCAAAACTGGTATCTGTGCATCCCTTTATTTATATTTATAAAAACAAAATCGTAAATTAAAACAGAGATGTACAAATCCCAGGAGCTCCGTGTGCTCCTTACAAATGACAGCTGCCTCCTAACTTTTGAATTTTTCTCTAGTGTAGTCTTGGAGCTCAAAAGTATCGGTACATGTACTCGTACTTGTACCGAGTACTGTACTTGGTATCTGTGCAACCCTAGTAGGAATGGAAGTGCCACTTAAATTAAAATAGTCTGGATACAACTTTATAACACTAGGGTCAGGGGACAATCAAGTAAAATAGCTAATGCATTGCAGGGACCCAAAAACATCCCATTCATCAAGGCTTAGAGAGAGAAACCACGTATGTAGACTACAATCTCAATGGGACAGTTTCTGGCTTGTCAGCAGCTGGTTTGGCTGACATAGCACAAGCTTTCCCATCACAGCTCAATACAAAGTTCAAGCTGTAGATATTGTACTCCACATACATGATTTCTCTCACTAAGCCCTGAAGAATGGGATGTTTTTGGACCCCTGAAATGTGTTATATGTGGACCACAATATCTGCAGCCTGAAATGTGTATTGAGCTGTGATGGGAAAGCTGCTCAAACCAGCTGCTCACAGGCCAGAAGCTATCCCATTGAGATTGCAGGCCACTTACATGATTTATCTCACTAAGCCCTGATTAAGGGGGTGTTTTGGGACCCCTGAAACGTGTTATTCTCCTCAAAGGCTATGGCTATTCTACTCAATTGTTCCCTGCCCCTAGGGGAATTTAGTTACATCTGGACTTTTTTAATTGGTGTTGAACTTCAATTCCTACGTCTACTGTGTTCACTGTCAAGCCAAGGATACTGTGTAGACCCTTAGGCCAGTGATAGCTGCCTATCCATTAGCCATATTACACATATTCACATCACTTTATAACTATTGGATGATAAAAACAGAATAATCATGTGGGTCCAGCACTCTTATTCTTCTTCCAAACATATTTCCGTCACTCCAAAGTTTTCCTTTTACAGCCCAACTCCAGCCAAACCTGGACCTCAGGATACATACATCTCAAATGATGGTAGAACTCTATAAGCGCTGACTTCAGCATGCTTCTAGGTTTTCGTGCATTCCTGCATTCACTGAATTATGTTATTTGCCTGCATTCACTGAATAACTCCTAAGCCATTATTTAAAATAAAATAAACATTTTTGCAATAATATTTCAAATATTTAGACCACGAAAGTTTCAGTGCAAATGACGTACTATACTGAACCTGAGCCAGATCTAAAAATCTTAATAAGAAGATGAAACAAGCATCACTATGCAGAATAAAATACCAGAATTTCTAGTCAGTTTGTAATAAGTTTTTTTTAAAATTATTATTATTCTTCATCTACAGGGATCGAATATTTACCAGTCTAGGCTGGTGACACAAACCTGGTGGACACACCAATGTAAATGCAAAAGTGGCAGCAGATTATTTTCGTAGCACACTAGCAGGGTTATTCACAAAAGCGTGAAGAGTTTGGAGAAGGCAGGAGAAGTGAACAATCTAGGCTAATATAGCTGAATTGGAAAAATTCTCCAATTCAGCTCACTTTCCAGTTCAGCTATGTTGTCCTAGATTGTTCACTTCTCCTGCCTTCTCCAAACTCTTCACCCTTTTGTGAATAACCCTGTAGGTTGTTCGTAGTCGAGTGAAATATTAATTTACAACCAAACCTGTAAAAAAACATAAATTATTGATTCATGTATTGCATTGTATGTGCCTTCATGAATTGGTGCTACAGCGTTAGCTATTTCAGAGAACACACATTCAATATGCATGCTACTTAGTATCTGCTGGGATTTAACCCTATAAGGGTCTGTGTGCAAAGTAAATAAATCTACCTCAAAACTGAACTCTACGCAAAGAGCTAAATACATACTGTATATAGGAGCTTTTTATTACCTGCCGAAGTATTTAAATCTGTCTATCGTCTTCTGAGATTTACACAGCTCTATCACACAGCACAGCCCTGTGTGGCAGGGCAGGAGACCTATTTTTCCTCTGCTACAGTTAAAGGAGAACTATGGGGTTAAGGCTTTTCCCCATAGTTCTCCTTAGGGTAACGGGAGTACACAAACTAGCGTCCTCCTGTTACCCTAAGCTCAGTATACCGCGAGCTACAGCTCGCGATATACTGAGACGCCGCAGCCGGAGCGGATCCCGACATCGATGTCGGGATCCGCCCAGCTGCGTGAGTGACAGCTGGCTCTGTCTATCTAGAGGCAGAGCCAGCTGTACCCGCCCCCTCCCCCGTCCGTTCCGCCAGTCAGCGCTGGCGGATCGGAGCGGGGAGGGGGGAATCCAGCCCCTCCCCTGTCACGGCAGAGAGCCGTGACAGGATCGAGAGGTGAGCGAATGCCGGTATGTGTTCGCTCACTTCTCGATCTACTGAGCCGACCTGTGACAGTCTCATTGTCACAGGTTGGCTAGAACTATGAGGTGAGTGAAAAGCACTCCTAAGTAAAATTTACAGGCCTGGCCCCTTCACTAACCTGTGACTGGACAGTGAAAAGAGAAGCAGCAGGCTGATGGGCTTATCTCTCTGTCACTCTGCTTTCTCCTCCTATGAGAACATTCGCTGTTAGCAAATAAGCAATGCAGGAGGGCTGACTGGCTCCTGTTGCTGCGTATCTCGCTCTCAGTCAGAGCTCTGGTGTACAGGGACTGTGAGACACTGATAACTGGTCAAGTTCAGGTATTTACACTGCTTGCATTAAAAAATATATATTTATTAATGTATTAATAAATATAAATCTGTATTATTGAGTGTCATTTATAACTGTCTGGAGTTCAGCTTGGAAGTGTATGTAAACCCAACAAATAGAGAAGGGAATGGTTAAAACTCCTGTCATTTTTTTGAATGGTCATTTGTGTTTCATTAAGGAGTTTTCCCATTACTTCCTGTCCTGTAGACACAATAGAAAGTTATAGGCAATCTGTCCAAAGTAAAGGAAATGCCCTCTTAGATGATTGTCACTGGAGCAAATATACCGACTGGAAAGCCTCCCCTCTGTTCTGGTGACAACTCAAAATCTTCCCTCACTTTAAGTCCCGAGGACAGCAGTTACCAGGACAAGTAGAGGGAGTAAATCTCCCTAACTGGGACACAACACCAATACAGATACTTGCAGAAACATCACCAGCACACTGAAAGCCTTGTAGGATCAAAACTTGTAGATTTATTGCAAATTCATGTCAGTCACACAAGCGCTTTCAGGGCCACGCAGGGTCCCTTCATCAGGCATAAACCAATACAAACCGAGCAAGGTTGATAACCCCTCACCACTCTATTCAAAGCTAAAAAATAAGTTGTGGCTTTAGATGCAATTTATGTCATATGAATAATACTCCAAACTCCAAAAAGAAATTAAAAACATCCATGAAAGAGCACGGCAATGTTTTTACAAAAAAAGGTCCAAAGAATTTGTAGTTGCATATAGTAAAAATAATATAATAAAATAAAATAGATAATTTTAAAAGAACCAACTAGGCACCTAGGCAGATCCCAAAACTGGCTATGACCTTGGTCGGTAAAGCAAAGAAACCAATTACAACAAGTAAATAAGTAAATATTTTGAAATTCACCTTAGTACAACTTACAACAATGTAAAAATCATGTCAATTAATAATAAAAAAGAAATTAAAAGAAATTAAAAAGAAAAAAGAAAACACAACATAAATGTAAAAAAATATATATAAAACAAAAATTATTGTGTCAATGAATGTAAAAAAAACACAACAAGAGAGAAAAGGCAATAATTATTGCATCAATTAATTACAACAAAAAATAAATAATAATAATAAAAGAATGTAAATTAACAATGTCAGATAAAGTATTATAAAATATAGTTAAGAATAAAGAGTATGCCTAAGTGACAACTAAATAATAAATATTAGACTGCCTTGAAAGGCCCTTCAAGTGACAATAACACACCTGGTTCGTGATCCACCTAGAGAAGCTTCCAGGGTATACAAAGGTAACTGCCATGTTCCATGCCCCCCAACGCGTCATGCTCATATTGCTGCTTCGTCAGGATCTGTGAGTACTGTGCAACCTCCACCTCTAAGAACTGCAGTTGACACTGGCAACAATGAGCATTTAGAGGGTAGCCAGGTGCAGAAATGGA